ACTAGTACCATGACAAGAACAACTTTAATGCTCGGATCAGCGCGATAATAAAAATGTACAAATTTCGACAAACCAACTAAGATAGTTCTCTAGGTCTTGACCACCTGACCAGTCAGATTTGACATGAAATATGATTTTCTCTCTATGAAGCTGTGAGCAGCTTTAAAAAAAGTCCCTTTGAGCATTTAGAAGCAACAGAACGGTGCACTTACGCCATATAAATCCAGTATTATGAGCTAACGTTATTTACCCCCCATTTGCAGGTAAATTTCGTCAAGATTAACCACCCTCCAAGCATTCGAATACCTTCGATCATGTACAGTGCCTTCCTCTCCATCTTATCCTCGAAGGTTAACCTGGCCTGCACCAGTTTGTGGTCACTGCTTGTGTAACATGATGGCACTGCTGCCATGTTTCGGCTGATGAGACGTTGGTTGCACAGAAACGAGTCTATCTCGTTCTTCGTGGCCTCGTTGGGCGCGATCCATGCCCAACTCCTGTTAGACTCATTGTGTAGCCAAGTGTTTCGATTCTGAGATGGTTCACCAGCCGAACTCATCGCTGATGTTGCTTTACGGGGCCATACCGGCCGACAAATGTTTCATTGGTCCTTCTTCGTCCGGCTTTGGCATTGAAGTCTCCCATGACGAGCTATGCGTGGATTTTGGGACCAATTTCTGTACAAGTTCTTGACAGAATTCCTCCACTTCCTCCTCCCCATCTGTACTTGTGGAAACATAGGTCTGGACGATATTCTAGATTCTCTCTTGCTCAGTTGAAGCACAGAGCGGCCAGTACTGACAGGAGATGATTTTTGAAATCCAACTTGTGTTGACTACAAATCCCATTCCTCATATGTTTTTTCGGATTCTCTCTCTTCGTAGCCAAATTAAATTGCCTTTTAAAGTGCGATGGTTCGGTCCATCACGTTACGAACGAGCAGGCGTTGAACACCAGCGGTTTGAGAAAAAAAACTGAGGAACTCAGAGGTCAACGACTTGGTTGGTTTGATAAAACAATCGAGAAAGAGAACGGATACGTTTATAAAACCTTTCTCACATGAAAACCGTCCACTGGCCGCAGTCGCGGTGGAGGACAATATAAATGTTGGAAGCAGCCTTTTGAGGTAAATCTTCTGAGGACAAACAATAAGACCTTTGCCGCAGCAATAAACATAGCTTAATATCAATCTGCATTGCCATTTCTAACAGTTAGACTTCCCAAGTTTAGGCTACTCTGCTGTATGAGCTCTATTAACCTAAGATGATGATGACAAAACAATAACATCGCCTTTCTTGATGCCATTCATCTCCTTTCGTCATCCTGCCTCGCAGAGACCAAGGACGTTGCAGTCCATCCCTGAGCTTCAATCCATTTGTTTATTAAACGTTTCTTCCCTAGTCAGTGTTGTGGAGTCTGAAGGTGCAAACTTCGATGGAAGTCCGAGTCCAGGTCCGTTTACCGGATGGCGGGCTTTCACTTGGGATTCTTAGCAGCCTTTCGTCTGTCAAATATCGGAACGCCGCCGAGGAATAGGTCGAGAGAGGCAGAGGATACTGAAGCCCATTCATTCGTGTTGTCATATGCACGAAATTTTGCCATCGTTTTGCAGGGATTATGTTCGCCTGAGGAATTTGTCGCAGACGGGTCCCCCAATTCCGTCCGATCTTTTCTATCGTAGGTGTCCCCTCAAAGCTTTGACCAACCATGTCTAATCGCAAAGCAGAGAAAACAGTGACGTACTTTTCTCTCCAAAGGGGCGGGTCGGTTTCGCCTCGAAATGAGACTGCCATTAGGAAGTTTTCTCGTTTTCTCTGAGGATCGAAGTTGTGGAGGTTTCACCGCTGCCTGCCCACGACTGCTTATTTGTCGCAGTTAACCTCCATATCTGGAGGTCTCCTATGCGCAACCCAAAAGTGCGCCCTATGATCAGCAACTGTGCACACTGGTGCCGTAGACTCACTGGCGAAAAAATGGCTAATAATTTTTGGCATTGCTTTTAACAATTATCATACATGATGGCTAGATCGAAAATAGAGTAAGGAACCAAATGGACATTATCGATCGCTGCGATTTCTGATCAGTTAAGAAAACTTATTTTGTTCGCCAATTCACTACCTCAGACGACGTACACTTACCGTAACTCCAAATAAACAGGTACCGGGTGATAGATCGAATACCGTTATTTTGTTCGTGTTAGAAGCATTGGTGCTTCACGGAAAAATCTTTCGGTTTCTTCAAGGCTTATGACGAAACGAATAAAAGTTAATACGAGGCAAGAACTTAACACATAAACGTAAAAGTAGCTGTTCTGATTTAAAATTCATGTTTCAACTGCATTTCGTTCGTAACTGATACTTGAAGTAAACACTGTTGCACTTGCCTCTGTGAGGTCGACGTTGTAGTACGGCAAGGAAACAGTTCTTTCTACGAAGGAGCAAGAATAATGGTTGAACTGCGGACGGCAACGTTGGCTTCGACAAATAAGGAGGATTACATGGCAGTACCACGAGAGGAATATCTCCACCTTCTTCTAGGTATAGTTGACCTCGGTGGAAGAGGGGATTAAGAAAATGAGTCTAGCACTGTTAGAAAAACTTGTGTATCAGAAACAATTTACTCCAACCCACGAGCTTCTCGAGTGGAAGGCGAAGCACAACAGCATCGACCAGGAAGTCAGCAAGCAACAGGGAGCAACAGGGAGGAACAAGAGAGAGGCAAATTTGCTTTTGGAGAGGAATATTTTCTTCTATGATGTAGTATGTTGATGCTTTATGGCAGAAATGTTTGAAAACTGCAACGTTATAAACGTTCTGCTTAGGTAAATGGCTATCGACGACGAATATCACAACAAACATATACTAAACAAAAGGGATATGAATAAAACAGAAATAAGAGACTATCGGATGATAGACGGCTACTGACGTTTCGGATGAGTCTTCGAAATGGCTTTTGTAGGGATGTCGCTTCCTCGCTTCACATGTTTCACTTCAAAGACGTTTCAAAACAGCCCCAGCGGAGATCGCACGTATAAAGAATATGGTGGAAGCATACCGGAAAGTCGTTTCCTGACGTATCCCATGATGGTCACTTATCTTAGGACTTCCACAGTGCTGATTCATGGTAAAGCCACGGGCTAAAGTGAAGCTCACTTGGAATTACCCAGGAGCAGAAACATGTCCATTCCAGCAAAGACTAGCGTTCGAAACATCAGCACAAAGAGGGAAGCTAAAGAAACAATCTGACCTTGACGATCAAATGATGTAACCTGGCCTAGAAGTGGTGCTTCAATAACGATTTAACCGAAGTATTTATAGACACTACACCTTTTGAACGCTTTAAAACACCAAAAGAGTGTTTGATATTAAATGTGACGAATTTTATATCACTGTAGCCGTTGTTAATTGATTTCGCAGGCAAATGGATAATTTTTCTACGCACTTACTCAATTAGAAGCCCATGTTTAATCATCGTTCGCTGAGTCATCTGCATCTGAGTGCTTTTCTGGAACTTTCAATTTCACTGGTTCCAATGAGCGGAAAAAGCCAACTTGGAAGCACAGAGAAGGACAATTATTGACAGAACGAAATCTGCGTCATGTGTTGTGCATATCATTAAGTTAGTGATAGTTGGCGAGTGAAACGAGACAGAAACCGAACCCCTCCCATCGATCACACTCAGGTGACTCTGCCGTTGATCGATGGTCGTCAGGAGGACAATTCGTCTGTCGTCTATAGTCGAGATACACAACGCAATGAAGCAGACATAAGCGAAAAGTAAAAGCAACAAGTTCTTGCCTTCTTTGTTAATCTTTGATCCAACTTCAGCAAACGTTTCTTTGAGAATGCTGGTGGTAGTGGTAGAGTTGGGGGACGAGCGGAAGGAGGAACTGGTCTCTGCTGCGGAAGTAGCCACCGAAAACGAGCAGCTATCGGTAGCTGCTGTTGCTGTCGCTACCGCTGCTGCTGCGGGTGGAGTCTTACGGATGTTGTTGTTGTTCTTGTTGTTGTTGTTATTGTTGTTGTTGTTGTTGAAGGAAGCAGTACCTGTCCGGTTTTGCCTGGACAAGTAGTACGACGGTGGTGGCAAGTCTTCCGCATCGAAGGCGACCTTCGGCATCACCATCGTGGGGGCGATAGTGGTCGTCGTGGTGGCGATCGTGTTCAGCAACTGCCGCAGGGCGATCGGACGAGATGAGATGAGATCACTCTGCAGCTGTGAACGATGCAAGTGATTGTCAGTCGGTGTGACGTCAGACTGGTCAGCAACGGTCACTACGACTCGATGATGACTCAGTGACTCATGCGCCGGGGTAACGAACGAGGAGAAGCGTCGCGTCGTCCGTCGGCGGCCGTCGTCGCGTGGTAGTCCGTCCGTGTACTAGCACTTCGTCACAACTGCACGGTTCGTGCGTGTGTGCAAGCACAAGTTTTTCCCGACGACCGATGTGCTCTAGCGGCCGGCTCTAGCCGCATCTCACAGTGGTGGTCGTGGCGGTGAAGGAGGCAGGCAGCAGGCAGGATTTG